CGACACAATAGGGTCAACCTTTTTCTTTGAGTGAACAGCAAAAAGTTCTCCCATTCTGATATTTTCCTCAACTTCACACGTCTCCCTCTCGGCGCGAACATACCCAGTGTGCCAGTTCACAGCTTTTCTGAACTAGTTCAAGTTCAGTTTATACATGCTCAAAGTGAACAGTTCAAGTTCAAAGTTCACATTTTTAATTCTGAACTAGTTCAAAGTTCAGTTAGTTTTACTTTTCCGTGAGATGTTCAAATAAATACTTTTTTTCACACTACGAGCTACAAATCACTATACGTGATTTCATCACGACTCGGGCACATGTGAGTCCAACAACCCATGAAAACCACTAGCATACAGCGCCGCACCGCAAAACAGAGTCGGGGTGCGTTCACAGACGATGGAAACCGTGGGAATTTTTAGTTTTTGGCAGAAAAACTGCGGAGAATATAGGAGGGAGGAACTTTCTCTTGTTGCGTTTCAAAAGAGAAAACAGATGAAAATGAATGAAAAACAAATTCCAACGTTCATTTACAGTGATGTCTGCCGTTCATGACACATAATGTGAACTAATTCACGTTAAAGTTATTTTATAAAAATGTGTTGCGTTCAGTTCAACATTTACAAAAAAATGAGTGTGTTCAATGAACGCGTTCTTTTGCACTCATTCACGTACAACACTGAACATATCGTACTGTTACAGTCGGCCTCTGCCTAAAGCGAGTGCTCTGGGGGCTTTTTCATTGGTTTGTGCTGTTTTTTATTCATGGACTGTCAAAACCCAAATAGAGAGGATGAGTGTGCGCATGTGGGCGCTAATGTCAGTTTATACATTTTACTCCTGCGTTTATGTTATTTCTGGACGACCATTTGTTTTGGTGATTGTTGAAATCCACCGTCCCCAATCTCCTTCACAACGTCATTCATACATTATTTGTTTTCTCTTCTTCATTACGATGAAGAGAAAACTTTCCAGCCACACTCATATGGGATTGGTATTTATACACTTAACAATTCATTTATTAAGCATCATTATTTTTCATTTTGTTAAGCACATGTTTGATAGATATTACTGTAAAAAGCTTGTATACCTAACTTTCATATTTCATGAACAATACAACTTACGGCTTTTTAGGTTCTTCTAATAAGACAATTAAAGCAAAAAAAAAGCTAGTACTGCTTAAATACCTGACATGTTTCGGCGGTACACTTCCGCCTCTGATGAAGGCGGAAGTGTACCGCCGAAACTTAAAATGCCGTAAACATAAGAAGACAGAATTAATTTTCCACATTTAACAATACAACTTGTTTGTACAAACATGAAGAGTCTTTTCAAAGTAAAACTTTGTGAACAACAGTCTGTCCTGTTGTTCACAAAGGAACAAAATACAGACTGTTTTCTCCAACTTTGACTTGTGCACACAATCAGGCAGCAAGAGCTCTCATAATTATTATTACACACTTCAATTCTCAATTCAGGAGTTATTTGACCTCATTAACATCGCTCTCCAGTGTCCTCTCTCTCCGTGTTCCTTGCCTCTGTTTGGGTCCTTCAGTGTAACCTGGGTGCACCCTTCACCACAACACTCCCCCCTCATCCCAAACACCTTAATCTGAAAGTTAATTAAGCTTGTGTGCCTTGCTACGATTGGGCTGCTCTCCTCTTTCGTCTTTCAAGCATGCATTTCTGCTTGAGAGACTGCTGTCATTTGCCTCTCCTTGATGAATTTGCCTCATATCCCCATGTGGGATTGAGGCGGGCTTGGATAAACACTGCTGCACTTCACTCCTTAAGCCTGTACTGCATGTTTTCAGTATTGCCATCTATTGCCGGTTTCTCGCTTTCTCACACATCCCTTGCATCCTAATTTTTGTCAGCAATGAGTTTTTTTTTCATCTTAGACCAAAGAGCAGTTGGACCATGACGGAAGCTGACAGGAAGACATTAATATTTAAACTCACAATAATTCAAATATGGTGCCAGGATGTTTATTAGCTGTTGGCCTTCAGTTCTAATTGGACAATTGCACATATTTTATAATTATTCTTTGGATGACAGGAGTACAAATGGAGATATTACAATAAACACTCAACACTGCTGTGGGAGTGAGATGAATATCAAACCATAAACAGTGTATATGGACACCAGTTTAAAGCATACTTAAAGAAGACAGATGTTCTAGCCTTTGAAGTATAATTATTTCATATGCTTCAACATAAAATTGTCATTTATTTGACCGTTTCTTTAGAGTCATAATTTTACTTCCTGATTTTTGATTAATGACATAATGCTATGGAAGTTAGGGGGAAACCATTTCTTCACAAACTGTGACTTTATTTGTGTAAATCGATAATTCATCATTTAATCAGGTACCATTCCATCAACATAAATTATGAAATGATAAAAACCTGTTGTACTCATTTTAACTTTCATTTGTTGCAGTCAGCAGACTTGTTTATCCAACCAAATCTTATACCTAAAACATGTAGTTGTCAATGCGGAGAAAATAAAATTGGTTTCGTACTTAGTTCCGTGGGGCGACAGTAGCTCAGTTGGTAGAGCACTGGCCTTCAGGCCTGAAGGTCGTGGGTTAAATTCCCACCTCCACACCTTCTCTGACTCCCACTGATGACTGCTGTCGTTGTGTCCTTGGGCAAGACACTTAACCCCACTTTGCCCAAAGCCCCCGCTGAAAGATCAAGGCTATGCTCACACTCAGAGAGCAGCCGTCCCATCCATCCATCCATGCACCAGCCCCTCACTGATCCTTTGCAGGTGGTGAGTCCACAGGAGGACGGCTGCTCTCTGAGTGTGAGCATAGTCAGAGAGCAGCCGTCCTCCTGTGGACTCACCACCTGCAAAGGATCAGTGAGGGGCTGGTGCATGGATGGATGGATGGACTTAGTTCCTCTTTTGTTTTGAATTTAGGCATTTTGGAAAATACATGTAAAATAATGGTCTTTTGGGATTGATTCATTTTCTGCAGGGCCTTCAGGGACGACCAGCTCTGTGACAAGCAGATTGGCAGCTTCCTAATTAGATCAAAATAGGCAGTAGACGTAGATTTTTCAGGCAACATACAGTATAGCCTGTATATACAGGGGATCTCACACCAGATGGATGGGATGTGAAAATAGAATTGGCTTGGGTCTCCGCATAAGGAATGACAAGTGTTGGAACAGACCTAATCCGTGCCTCCTCCTTTTTCATTCACAGCTCATGTCTCATATTTGTCTTGCCGTTGTTTAATCATCTGGGCAAGTTTCTCAACCCATTCACCAATTTCCTCACCCTGTTTTCCTCAGCGAGTGTAGGCCTTTCACAAAAACACATTTTGAAACGTTACATATTGCTGTCTATGTACAGTAGGTCTGTAGTAGGTTTGTAGTAGTCTTGTGAGTGGATTTCCGCCTCCACAGATCTGAACTGTATCGTGGTGTCACCTGCTCGTAACCTTAGCAATAATAAGCTTAAGCCATTGTATTGAGAAAGAATGAAGAATCATGTGGATGAAGCCATACAGAAAAGTTACATAGTGATTTTCTAAGACAGAATACACAGCAATGTACATAATAGATAAAAAAAAAATGTAGTCAACGGCAAAGTACAAGTATAGCTCCACAATTGAAAAGTTGACATACCTTATGAAAAACATAAAAAAAATATATATATATTTTTATCAAACACTATACTATGAATTTAATCTTTTCAGAGTTCATATCCACAAATCTTACGTAAGAGAGGGAGAGACTTCCAATCTGATTCAGTCCACTTTATTTTGTATAGCACATATAAACAGTTTCCAAAGTACTGCACATAGATACATCCTGGGTAGTACGGGTGCTTTTGTCGTCTTGACAGTGGTCCCCAACTCCCAGCCATTCCAACCGGGTCGCCAAGATTTCATAAATGATTTCATAAATGACTATACGTCTTGGTCACTTGACACGGTAGCACTACGTGGAGGCTGAAATGTAAACAATGTCCAAGCGGCACCCACGCGCTGCACAAAGGTTCTTATTAACTTTTACATACGCGAGGGGAAGAGTAGAGACACGTGGAGGAATCTGTGGGAGCTTAAAACCACGATGATCAGAGAAGCCGGGACATTTCCTTAGACATGGGTATAAACAGCCACGGCAGAACTAAAGGTTCAGATTATTATTAGCTTCGGCCACTGCACCGCGTCCGCAACACCAGGTAAGAAGAAACTCACTGTTAATAAAGGGTATTCTGGCAATTGTTTTGGATTCTGTGTGTTGCATATTTGAGGCTTGTTCCCTGAACTTTTGTTGAAACTCGTAGACATAGTATTTGGACTAATGCTCGCAGTGGGTCAGAACATCCGTAGACCCGTGTTGCAGATTCTGCCTTGTTCTCATTACTGTCGGTGTGAAGAAAGTTACGTATTGTGCACGTGTGTAACTACAGCAATGTGCCTCCCATTGTTCTAACCTTTAGGTGAGTGTGGTTTGTGATGTCCACACATTTGCTGTTATGATGCCGGTTTCAAGATTTTTTCTGAATAAAAAAAAAAAAAATCTTGCTAACTGTGGTTCTTCACAATCCCTTTTTCAAACTTGTCAGGGCACGGTGGAAGCAACAATAATAGTAGCAGAAATTTATCAACCAATGTACTGTATTGGCATGGAGAGTCCTCCAACATGTTTTTTCATTTGGAACAACTGTAAAAATTACCTTTACGTGTTCTATTTCTTTATCAGTTCATATATTGACACATAAAAAAGAAAGAAAACAAGACTGCCATCAGATCTCGAAATCATTAAATAACAAGAAGACATTGCCATAGAAAGAAAAATATTGCGGCTAAACAAGCAAATAACTGCTTTCTGCTGGTGTCAAGTTATTATATCACCACGGCTCAAAGAATCAGATAAATGCATGGCCCTATCTATGTATTGTTCCTATATTATTATTGAACAAAGACATCGAGGACATAGTGTATAATTATTGCTACAGTACATGACACTTCCTCTCTTTGCAGGGAGCAGGCTGCACGGCTCTTGTGGTTGCCGTGGTAGCGAGGAAACTGGAGCTGACCAAGGCCGAGAAGCATGTTCACAACTTCATGATGGACACGCAGCTCACCAAGCGGGTGAGTAGTGCCATACGCTGTCTGGGTGCTGTGTCGACTGTGGCGTCTTTACAGAAAACATCATTTCCAGACCTCACTTCAGATCTGGAGATGGGATTCTATATTGTTCATTGGGCTCACTGCTCCTGTCCCAACTGAGCGTTGGGTCAAATGCATCACATTTCCCACAGAGAACAAAAAAGTACTTTAAACTTTAGACTCTTCTATGGAACACAAGTCAGAGTCAAGCAGGAGGACTGGGGATTACGCATGTATTCATATATTTATACATTTTTGACATTAATCATTAACATAATAGATTGTGTAACAAATGTAGACTTCATTCAAAAATCTCTTGTCATAAATCAACACGCTTGAGGCTATGGTTGGTGTGCTTTCTTCATTATCACCCACATTGGGGCATGGGGTCAGTTTAAGGTCGTGTAAAACTGAAGAGACACTCTGATGTGTTACATGACACAGATGTGCCATCTGTGAAATGTAACGTGTGAAACAACTAGAACCATATCCAAAATAAAAGGCACATCTTATTGTAGGTTTTCAGCTGTTTGAAGGAATTTCAATTTACCTTCATTTGATAAAGTACAATAGATCCATCGGCGCCACCATCCACCACCTATCACTCAGACACACACGCACACACATACACACACACACACACAAATACACACACAAACACACACACACACACACACACCAACATCAGGCTAATTACTGTAGTTTACTAGTATATTATACTTTTGTTATACTTTTGTAGTATTACATAAGTTACACAATACCAAACATTTGTTACAATTAGAATTAACTAATATCCATTTCAGCAAACTGTCTTGTACCAGGTGTGATATTCAATACCAGTATTGTACCAGTTGCCCCATAGCCTCCTGTATTGTGGAGATAGAGAGCTGTGTGCTATTTAAGTGAATGGCTCCAGAAGGTCATCTCCCGGTGCTCTGCTCTCCCCATCCGCTGACATTTGTCTCTTTTCTTACAACAAATCCCCTCCTCGTTCTCCCCTAATCTGTCACCTCACCCCCTCCCCACCTCCCCCCCTCTGCCCCATCCATCCCACTCCCTCTCCACCCTTTTCTGCTCCTCCTCAATTTTTCATACAGATGAAAGACCCGAGCTGTAAAAATAGCTCCCGTATCAAATATGTAAGGTACATTATGGCAGCAAGTTTTCTCAATGATGAAGTTAGACGGTCTGATCAACGTATAGATTCTGTGGAACCTTGTTACGGCTGCGGGATCAATTAACAGTCCGTGCCATGTTCCAATAATTGTTTAATACATAGTAAAAATGGAATTTTATCAGAAAATAATTACATTCACATAACGTCGATGCGACCGGAGAATAAATGTGCAGCCAGTAAATCACATTATATTAAAGATTGAGTAACCTTTACAATTCATGTGCAAGGTGATGACAGTGTGGTGCAAATTTCTCCATCATTAATTAATGTCAGTAAGGTTAATACATACTAAAGAATATATGTGCTCGTAGTATTTTATATGGTTCATGACAGTCTTCCTTCCTACTTAAAGTTGTATTACTAAAACTATGTCTGTTATATATGAGGAAAGTCTGAAACAAACCGAAACAAAACTATATTCAAAGTAATCAAAAGGACTGGCATACATAAATGGAAGACACTGGATCCAAGTTACACTTTTCAGAGCCGAGAACAAGTGCATATTGTGTTTTGTAAACTTTGACAACTAACAAACTCAGCTGCACATCGTCTGTAAGCTAGAACTAGAATGTGTGTAAAACTTGTTAAAATTAATACTGAATGTGTTTTTTTTAATTTTGCTTCATGATCTTTGGCTGCGTTTGTGGTTTATCTAATAAGGCTGTTCAAGCTGTGCACCGTCGTATTTAGATCTGAGCTACTTAAAGCCTGTGTGAAAGGCTTTACTAAATTTAATAATAATAATGCATCGGTTTTATATAGCGCTTTTTTGGACACTCAAAGACGCTTCACATGTCATTATTCTTTCCCTCCATACACAGTGGTGATAAACTACTACTGTAGCCACAGCTGCCCTGGGGCACACTGACAGAAGCGAGGCAACCAGTGTGTGCCATCGGCCCCTCCGACCACCACCAACCATTCACACACACACCAGACTCATTCTAGGCAATGTGGGTGAAGTGTCTTGCCTAAGGACTCAACGGCAGTTTGACACTTTACAGCCGCAGCTGCCCCACTGTGGCATCAGGTGTTCCGAGAGGTTAAGTGTCTTGCCAAGGACACAACGACAGCAGACAGTGGGAGTCGATGGTGAAAGTCTTGAGGTGGGCTCGAACCACGATCTTCTGGCTCAAAGGCCAACGCTCTACCAACTGAGCTACTGACTCCTCCAATTTGACAAAAACATTTTCAATTTTCATTTTGGTAAAGCTAGCTGGACCCGATAAAGCATAGGTAGAAGTAGTTACCATAGCAACCACAAAGTAAAAAGGAATGTTTACAAAATAGTTTTGGCACGACACTTTCATCTTTATTGCTTTTTCATTAATTAATTAAGCTTTTTTGGAAGAAATGTTGAAAAAGGAAGTATATTTCTCCAGATCATTGTTTGATAGTGATAAGAATAATACAGAATTATACCCTTTCTAGTCCTTTCTACTGTCCAGCATCATGCTTTTTTATATTGTCACCACCTCTAAGCACCTTTATGAGAAGATAATTAGACCATAGTTGAACTGACAAAGAAGATGTGGAACTTTGACAGTTTTAGTTTAATATGGATTGACCCTGGAATTATGTATTTATTTATTTATTTGTCCATGCCATATAACATATAACATACATCATGTATATTCCCTTTACATTTGTGCAACATAAACAAATAGGAACAGATGGAAGACACAAAGCCTTATAAACCCTGTCCCAATTACAGAGGCATAAACAATCAACTGAGACTGGACTCTTTGGACATGAACATAACATATTGTATTTGAATTTGACAGCGTTTCCATGGTAGAACTCAGTATTACTTGTTAAACTATTTCTTGACTTGACTGCAGCAAAACTAGTATAAGGAACCAGGAACTTAAAGGCAAGTTTTTCAGCTCACTTAGTAAACAATGTGTTAGTGTGTACAGTGTGTTAGTAAAAACAAAAATAATCTCAGTACATTTATTTTTCAAAGAAGAGGTCAGATAAATTATTCCTTTTGTATTTTTCTTTTGTATGCAGTTAAGCAAAACAGCAGAATTTGCCTGACCCCAGGGCACATTTTATGCAACCGCCTGGAGTCCCACAAATGTTTTTCTTCATTGTCTTAAATCTTCTATTCCATTTTCTATCATTTATTTATGTACTTCTCTATCAGTTAGTGTCAAGGCTCCATATTTTGTTCTCATTACATTTGGGATGCCTTCATCCATAGATTTAGTCATTCAGTGATAGAATAAATGTTCCACTGAACAACTTGTGAAACATGAATGTTTTTTTGTCATTGTGAATAAATCTAAATGAAAATATGATTTGAACAGGACTTTTGGATTACATTGGTGTGATTAAAAAAGTAAGTAAGTACTCTTTATTTATATACCACTTTTCACAAACCAGAGTCTCAAAGCGGTTTACAATTGTTATTTTTGGGCATTTGTCCTCTCACTCCACACAGAGATGGGAGCGGGGTCGCCAGTACAGGAGGTGCATGCCAGACCTATTGTGCATGTTTTTAGTGGTAGGGGAAACCGGAGTACCCGGAGGAAACCTACGCAGACACGGGGAGAACATGCAAACTCCACCCAAAAATGTCTCCAGTTGTAAGCAATCTGATGTTGAAATTTACTATACAGTATATAAATATTCATTCACTTAACAAAAATGTGACGGAAATTTAGAATTTAAGGTTTTATCAACGTATAATTTGTCTTAAACTCCAAGGCATTTGACAGCATCACAAAAGACTTGTCAGGCACTGAGTTTGGCAACAGCAGCTGCTAATGGGCTGAGTCTGAATCAGTGACTGAACATTTTGTCTTCAGACTGGAAACGTCTGAACCAGTAACAAGGAGGTGTAAGTGAAGTAACTTTGTGCCCAATTAAAAATGTTTTATGTCAGACTTTTTTGTAGATAAATAGCAATAAATGATCTACTTAATCAGAAGGACAAAGCATCCACCGCCATAAATTTTGTAAAATGTAAATAAGACATTGGTGTAGGATGTTTTTGCCCAAACCATGCCGGTTCACAGGAACAAGAACAGCTGTTTAATCACCAGGCGATCTGAGTGGACTACTGAGCAGTCCAGCATAGAACTTTGTATACACCGGCACTCCTTGGTTTGTGTTGGTCAGTCAACTGTTTTAAGAACTTTTTAGATCCTCTGGGACTAGTTCCAAAGTTGGAGTTGGCGTACCCTTGGCATCAAATGCGATCATTATGTGCCCTCTCCAGGGGGGAGAAGACCTCCTTCCCCCACCTGGAAGAGTTCACGTATCTTGGGGTCTTTTGCTTTGTCCTGATAGAGCGGGAGATTGACAGAAAGATAGGTGCAATGTGTGAATGATGCGGTCACTAAATCGGACCATTGTGGTGAAGAAGGAGATGAAGAAGGAGATGAATCAACTCCCACCCTCTCCTATGGTCATGCACTTTTGGTTATGACCCAAAGGACAAGGTAACATACAAGGGATCAACATTAGCTTTCTCCACACAATGGCTGGGTGCTCTCTTAGAGATAGGATGAAGAGCTCAAAAGGAAGCTCGGGCATCTTTTTTAGATGCGCCCAGGACCTCGTGACCCGGTGAGGGATAAAGTGGAAAGAAAGCGTCGGGAATTTAAGTGTATGATTTAAATGCTGTCATACAATTGTTACAGAAATAATAGCAACTAATGTGATGCATATTAGGCAGCTGCCATTTTCTTTTTAGTGTCACATTTTATTGTTTTACTTTCTATTGTATTATTGTATTGTTTTAGTATCTCCAGTGTTTCCTCTGGAGGAGCCCTCTGCACTGGGAGCTGGGGTCTGC